CTTTGTCATACTTGTGGTCTGGCCCTCAACCATGTTATTAGAAATATTAGAAAGGGACTAGAATTTCCACATATAATTTGAAATTTTAATGGTATAAAGCCAAATAATATTTTATAGTAACTTTATTTTTAAAAAATAAGGAATCTATCCATATTCCTAATACAGAGTGCTTAAGCCTGAGTAACAGTCCTGGGGTGAATGCTTGCTTTGCATTCAGCTGACCCCAAATCCAACCCTGGAACCACCAGAAGTGACCATGATTACAGTCAGGAGTAAGCCCTCAGTACCACCAGATGTGGCCACCAAACCAAATAAAACTGTCTGTGTGAAACACTTGACAAATCTGCATGTCATCTTGCCAAGGGGTTGTGTTAACGTCCTCTATAAGGTGGAATGTGTATTGCTGAAGTGACCACAGACATTAGAATTTTTTTTAAAGTCTTCAAGATTCAAATAAGGACACCAGGAGTGTTGGAGAGATTGAATGATTCCTAAGTGCAGAGCCAGGAGCAACGCTTGAGCTTTTCCAGGTGTGGCCCAAAAACCAAAAAGAAGGAAGAGGAAGAAGAGGAGGATGAGAAGGAGGATGAGGAGGAGGAGGGAAGGAGGAGGAGGAGGACACCAGAAGCCAGCCCAGACTCAACTGGTCTGAAGCAGAGAAGCCATGAAGATTAGGAAGAGAAGACAGGGGGGCTGGAGAGATAGCATAGTGGGTAGGGCGCTTGCCTTGCACACAGCAGACCTGGGCTTGATCCCCTGCATCCCATATGGTTCCACGAGCACCAACAGGCATGATTCCTGAGTGCAGAGCTAGGAGTTACCCCTGAGCACTGAGGGTGTGACCAAAAAGCAAAAAACAAAACCAAAAAACAGAAGAAAAGACAGGCCTAAGAGAGAGAGAAGCATGGGGCCAGGGGACTAAGTCTTGTGCACTGAGAGCCCGATTCTCCATCACATTCCATATTTATTGTCTTAAACCAACAACCCTTGAGATAAGCTCCGTTTTGAGACTTTTGCCACCTCAGTCATGTGGTTCTGTTGACCTGTAAAAGTTTAGCTTGTTAGGTTAGCATAGATAGGCAAATATCAGTAAATGATTGCCCGTGTTCTTCTTCTGGTTGTTGGTTAAGTTAAACAGATTAAGATATTTCTCTTGGAGAAGTAGAAAAAATGGTTACAGGAACCCCTCCCCTACCCCCAGAAGATGCAGTTTCCCACATTCAGTACTTGTTTTCCGGCAAGTAAAGGTCCCATTCCCTCAGTCTGTCTTACTCTCCTTAACTACTAAGTTTAATCATCATCTCTTCCCCACAGAATGAAAACTTGAAAATCTATGAACTAGGTTACAGAGTTTAGCCTTTCTAAAAAATGTGCACCTTTTCCTTTACTAGTACGACTTTTATTTTTAAATTTGGTGTGTGTGGTGGTAGTGATGGTGGGGGTCTTTCCAAACATTTCTCAGGGTTGGGGGGCTATCCCTGGTGATACTCAGCCTACCAACCTGGAAGGTTCAATGCGTGATGCAAGTGGGGTAGTTACCCTTCACACACACACACACACACACACACACACACACACATTATGCTCAGGGACCACTAGGCCACACCTTGAAGGAGATGCCACGGGATCCAAGCCGTCGCTAATGAAGGGCCAGAAAGCAGGCTGTGAGCATGTGAGGCAGTATCCTGACCCAAAAGAGATACAAGAGTAATTATTTGTGTGGAACCACTCAGGGGTGGTCAGGGTTCAGTGTTCAGGAGTGACCTCTGATATTGCTCAGAGGACCATATATGGTGCCAGGGATTTAAACCTCAAGGTAGTGAATGCAAGACAAACACGTCTTAATCCCTGTACTATCTCTTCAGCCCTGGGAGTAATTCTTTAAGGACTCATAGATTTGCAAGACTTTTGCAGCTGTTATACAAAATAGATAGCCTTATGGCGGGGTTAGGAGACAGAATTGAGGCACTCTGACATTAGTTTAACAGGTTTTCAGAAAAACAGAGTGTAGAAGCAAACCAAAATTTAGAATGTGAGTTATTTGGGTTTGTTATTCCCGCCTCTAACATATTTTATATTGATGTTCTAAGAAACAAAGGGAATTCTTGATATCAACTACTGGTGTAATGGTTTGACCTTGTACAATAAATTAAAGAAGCAGGAAATGATAATGTCAACTAAAAATGGTCCTGGAAAATGTCAGAGGTAATTAGGAAGAGAGTTCATTCCATAAAGCAAGGTAAGGGCGGTAGAGAGGGAGTACTGCAGTAGGGCACTTATCTTGAAGATGGGTTCGATCCCCAGCATCCCATATAGTTCCCAAAACCTCCCAGAAATGATCCCTAAGCTCAGAGTCTAGAGTAAGCCCTGAGACAGCTTGGCGTGACCCTCAGAAACAAAACCAAACCAGAAAAGCAAGGCGACTTTGCTGCAAATAAATCCAAGTTTTCACCCATCTTGTCAGTTAGAATCCCTTGTTATAACTTCCCCTTCGCTTCCCTTTTCATGGGAGGGGCAGGCAGGGTGAGAATGTTTTACCTGGCAAATTGGTTTAAATAAAAGCACTCACTGCTTCTAAGAGATGACAAAGTGAAGAGCGACCTCCATCAGTCTGTTAACTAACTTCCTCCATGTCAGGTTCTGTACTGAAGGTATTAACATTGTCATTCATTTGGTTGCTTTGTTTTGGGGGCCACATTCGACAGAGTTCAGGGTTTACTCCTGGCTCTATGCTCAGGGATCACTCCTTGCACTACTCAGGGTGCTAGATGGGGTGCTGGGAATTGACCCTTGGTCAACTGCATGCAAGGCAAAAGCCTTAGCCTCTATACTATCCAGCCCCAACATTGCCATGAATTCTTCCAGCACTGGAAGGAGAATGTTATTATCACCATCTTACAGATGAACTAAGGAAGACAGAAAGTGGTTGAGTAATGGTTTTTAAATCTGCTCTCAATAGTCATTCTGCTATTGAGTATAGTCTTCCATCTTTGGTGGGACTCAATTCTGAAAAAAATGAAATGAGAGGCAGGTGGGACTGGTTTCCACATTCATCCTGAGAAGTACATATTCTTGTCTAACAGAAAGTGAGAAGGAGAGAAATAACTCTCTCCTGGGTGTTCTACCTTTGTTATATTTTGCTTTGTGCATTCCTGAGTATCTTATTGGGGACCAATATACAAATGAAAGAGCTCCTCCAACATCCCTGAGGAAGAAGCTCTCTGTCCTTAAATGCTCTGTATATACAATTTGGATAGAGGTGTATCTGGTTAAAAGATTACTTTTGAGAAGCACTGGTATGATAAAAAAAATTGTTAATTTTAAGGTACAAAAATTAACAAAGATAAAGAAAAAAATAAGGTGATGTTAGCTCAGGTCTGAGAAGTAGGAGTAAATATAGAGGGAGATCATAAAAGCAAATTCACACATGGAATTTTCTGCTACATGGATGGATCTGGAGAGAATCGTACTGAATAAAGTCAGTCAGAAGGAGATGCCAGATGCAAAATGATGTCTAAGAAGGGAACAAATGGCCACCAGAACCTGAGAACTGAGCTTACTAAGGGCTGGGGAGTCAGGCAAGAACTCTGAGACAGTGGTAGAGGAAGTCTGGTGGAGTGCGTGGTGTCGGAACATTGCTTGCATGAAACCCTATTATAAACAGTATCATAAATCAAATAAAACTAAAATAAAATAGTCCCACTTTTTTTTTTAAAAAAAAGCAGATTTACAGAAGTTCTAGTCGGTGTTCTGGTTCTCAAGTAGGCGGGGAGTTCACAGGTGTTCCTGATAGTATTGTTCATGAGTTTATAAAGGTAAGAGGGCCACTTTATATGCCTCAAAGATCAAGGAGGGAAAGGAAAGAAAGTAAAAGAAAGGAAGTTATACAAGTAAAAGCAGGAAGGTCAGAAAAGGAAGGGAAAGTCTTAAATAAGAAAAATGTGTATTCAAATCTCAGTTATGCCACTTTTTGGTTGTGGTATCTTTAGACCTCCACTTGATTATTTACAAAATATAAACTGTGTTGGGTTTATTCATAAAATTACCAATAATCTATAGCCTATGACCTATGATTATCAAGACAAACTAAATGTAATATTCAGAATTAACAACAAACATTAAAAGATGAACAAATTTCATCTCTTGCTTTTCTCTTCTCCAACAAATGCAATTACTATGCCAACATTTATTCACGTGGACCTACTTCTCCATCATCTGATAACTGCACTCCTCCGTCCATCAAAAGTGTAGAGATGGGGGCTGGAGAGATAGCACAGCGGGTAGGGCGTTTGCCTTGCACGCAGCCAACATGGCTGACACAGGTTCGATTCCCAGCATCCCATATGGTCCCCCGAGCACCGCCAGGAGCAATTCCTGAGTGCATGAGCCAGTAGTAACCCCTGAGCATCACCGGGTGTGACACAAAAAGAAAAAAAATGTGTAGAGATGACCTGATAAAAGCTCAATGGATGAAAGTACATTCCTTGCATGAAGGAGAACTGGGTTTAATCAGTGGCACCACCTGGTCCCCCCAGAACTGTCAGGAGCAACCCCTGAGCACAAAGCTAGGAGTAACCCCTGAACAGGTAGGGGGAAAAAAGGTAGAAAATAATCAACTCAAAACTAGACTTTGGATTATACATGGTAATTAATGATTTATGAGAAATTCCAAATTGTATCCCATTTATCATTTTTTATAATAAGGCTATATCAGGGCCAGAGAGATAGTACAGTGGGTAGGACATCTATCTTGCACATAGCCAAACCGGTTTTTTTTTTTTTATCCCAGGCATATCTTATGGTCCCCTACCCCAGCAGGGTAGTTCCTGAGCACAGAGCCAGGAGTAACCCTTGAGAACCACGGGGTGGGGCCCCCAAACAAAACCAATAGGTAAATAAATAGATAAGGCTAGATCATGTGTGGAAGTACAGACAACAAGCACAAATACTCATATGGATACGAACGTGACTGTTAAGGACTATGTTTTTGCTTTCTTCAGCCTACTTTCACGTGCCCATTATAATTGACCTTGGAAATCCATCTCCAAAGATCAAAAGGATACAGTGCTCGACCTCTGGGGGCTTTCCAGAACCCCACCTCTCCTGGGTGGAAAATGGAGAAGAGTTAACTGTTGCCAACACAACCGTTTCTCAAGACCCCGAAACTGAGCTCTACACCATTAGCAGTGAGCTGGATTTCAATGCGACCAACAGCCACAGTTTCATGTGTCTGGTCAAGTACGGAAACTTGCAAGTGTCACAGAACTTCACCTGGCAAATAAGTAAGTGACCATTGTCCTGGGTTGGGCGGGGTGGGGGTTTGCGACTGTGTAAACAGTCATAAATACATGTAGAATTGTGCAGATCACCTTTGACAGTATTTTTAGAAACACAAAATTACAACTGGATTATTGTGACTTATGGTTGCTAGAGATGTGTGACTATAATGTTAGTAGACTCATTTTATTTTCTTTTAAAAACATTCTAAAATTTAGACATCCGAATACATGTCTAATGAGCTTCACACGCAGATGTTCTCACTTAACCATGCACTTGGGATCCTGATACCAGGTTTTAAGAGGCATCACAATAGAGTCGTGGCTGCTCTTCCTCCTCCTCCTCCATCTCCTCCTCCTCCTCCTCTTCCTCCTCCTCCTCCACACTTCTATGGCTACACTGAGTGAGGCATGGCGTGGATAGGGAATGCCTCTTGGAGAAACCCAGGAATGACTCAGAACTTGTGAGACTTCTAGACTCCCTGATAAACAGCAAGACCCTTTTGTTAGTTTGGGTTTCCTTTGGTCTGTAGAGGCCAACCCTGCCTGATACCCTTCCGCGCAATCTGGTGCTCTATAGAAAACAAAAATAAAATAAAACTTTTCTAGTCTACCACCTTGTAGGTATACCATGATCAAATGCTCATTTTAGAATGATTACCGCAGCTGAATATGTAAGGATTTAGTTAGAGCCCTTCCAGAATGTGGAAGGATACAATGCTTCCCTCATGCACAGTCAACCCTCATATGGTCCAACAAGTACTACCAGGAGTGGCCCCTGAGCACAGCGCCTGGAGTAACCCCTGAGCACCACCAGGTGTGGCCCATAAAGAAAAAAGGAGAAAGATTTGGGGGAAAAGAATCAGAAATGTTCTGAATACAAACTAGCAAGTGTGTGAGCACAAAGGGGCAATGAGTGCAGACAGACAAGCCTCCACTCTTACTTGGGTAACTAACGGTGTTTGAGAATACAAGCCATCGATATCCGGCAGGAAGAGTAGAGTGAACTGCCTTTACTCAGTGGAGATGCTGGTATCCAAGCTGTGAACGGCCCTGAAAACGTGGCCCTGGAGCTCCAAAATGGAGGCGGGGCAATTACATACAGGTTTAGGAAGCTGGTGGTGTGCCTACACTTGGATGGGGATGCGAGTGTCCTGGAAGGCCAGCAGGGCTACTGAGAAGGGGCCACAGAGGAACCAAGGGCACATCACTGTGGAAGGAAGTGTGTACGAAGGAAATGAACTCACAAATAGAAACCAGACGGCGGGGTGTTTTAGCAGCCCAAGGAGGCTTCAGGAGAGCAAACCAAGAGTTCAAGGCCAAAATTACTCACAAAGCTTGTTATTCGTCGATTGCCTCGAGCAGGCCCCAGTAACGTCTCCTTCATCCTAGCCCTGAGATTATATTCAAGGCTCTCTAGGAGAATGAGACCCATCATTGTTACTGGTATTGGGCATCTTGGGTACGCCACGGGGAGTTTGCCAGACTCTGCCGTGTGGGCAGGCTACATTCGGTAGCCTGCCAGTTTGTACAAAGCTTGAAAACCAGAAAAATGACAAGCAAATTGTTAATGATGTTCCCCTTCTACTTTAAGGCATTTCAGGGAAGCCAGCAGAGGCTGAGCTCCCATAGTGCGTCCCTGAGCGTTCTCTGGTTCTTGTGTCTACACAGTCCTCACTGGATTGGAGAGTCAGCCATGAGGCTGCTGCTCCTGACTTGGAGGGACAGACTCAGTCACGCCAGCCCTTCTCCCCAACCCTGCATCCTTCCTCACACACACACACACCCCTCAGGCTTTCAATGGGCCTGCAACTTCCGCTTCCAGAACTTTCCTCCACGATGGTCCCACCTGATTTCAAGCCACATCCAGTCTTGGCTCTACCCACCACAAATGCTGGGTGATGGTGATAACCTGTATCTGAAAATGAGTGCAGAGAAGCTTCTGTAACTCTAGGCGAAGACTGTGCTCTGTGTATGTGTGTGCACATGTATGTCTGTATGTAGTAAGAACATACTAAGAGAAAGGAAAAGACATTACAGCGCTGGAGAGGGATAAAGTCCATCTGAACATGACACGGCTAATTACTACTAGCAATAAAAGTAACAGCAACTATAAATTTAATATCAGTGACAAAGGAAATAGCTCAAAGGGCTAGTGTGTGTGCTTTGCATGCTGGAAGCCTAGATTTGATCCCCAGCACCTCATGATCCCCTCAAGCACCAAGCTAGGAGTAGCTCCTGAGCACTGTACATGTGGCCCAGAAAACTAATCCAAGTGTTGAAATATGAAAATAAAATTGTTTTTATTTATTTCGATTTTGGGGTCACATGCAGTAATTCTCAGTGGTTACTTCCAGCCTTGCTCTTCAGGCCTTGCTCTGGCAGTGCTCAGGAGGCCATATGGTGCTGGGGATCAAACTCAGCTTCCACTTCCAAAGTATGTGCTCTCCAGCCCCTACAAGATGGAGTTCAGTAATGTGTGAGTTCAAGTTTTTCTCTTAATATCTATAATCTTGTATGTGGATATTAGTTGTCTTCAAGTATGTGTCTGACTGAAGGGTTGTGCAGGAGACACTCTAGCAGCAACTTAAATGGAGAGCTGACAGGGCAGGAAAGTGAAAGCTACTCTCTACGCAATTAGTCATAGTCATAATACGCATAGTCAGTATTAGTCATAGAATGAGTAGCCTGCTGTTGGAAACATTTAGAACTGAAGCTCTTCTCTTTTCTCCACAGTCAAGTCAGACCCTGACCATCCTTCTCTGCCCTGGAACAGTATCTTATGTGCCCTCCTGGCGGTTTCTATTCTGGTGTTTGCAGCTGGAGGATGCTGGGCTTACAGTAAGTACTTTTGTGTTATCGCCATGATCTTGGATCCTGAAAGCCCGAACTCTTAACAGTTTAGTTTAACATCTCTCCAACATTTTAGCCTACTCTCTTCTCATGTTTGGAGCAAGTCATAGAAACCCATGTCTCTTTTACTTTCCTCAGCAAGTTCTGTTCATTTGCTGGGTGGACAGGGGCTGTATACCTCATACTAGGGAGCCTTGGTAATGACAAAGATGAGAGGACACTGCACTCTGACACATTCTCACTTAGTTCTTATGCTTTTCCCCCTAACTTCTTTTTTGCTGTTGTTGTTTTGCTGGGGGGGTCCACAGCCAGTGGTGCTCAGAGCTCACTCCTGGTTCTGTGCTCAGAGATCACTCCTTATGGGACTTGGAGGACCATATGGGGTGCCAGGAATTGAACCCAGGTTGGCAGTGTGCAAGGCAAGAGTCCTATCCACTGTACTACCTCTCTGGCTCTATCTTCACATTATAATTCATTTTATTTTGGGGGTATGTCATGCCCAGTGGTGCTCCGGGGGCTTATCCCAGCTTAGAGCTTGGGGTCACTCCAAGCGGTGCTTGGGACCACTGCAGTGCTAAGCATCAAACTCTATCTTCCTCCATTGAAAGTATGCTCTCCAATCATTGAGCTATCTTTCTGGCCCCCCAAAATTCATTAACTAATTTGGAAACTTTTCTAATACAAAGTGGTATTCTAATATTTGGAATCGGGGGGGAAAAAGCAGAATGAGGGACTGGAGAGATAGCACAGCGGGTAGGGCGTTTGCCTTGCATGTGGCCAACCCAGGTTCAATTTCCAGCATCCCATATGGTCCCCTGAGCACCGCCAGGAGTAACTCCTGAGTGCAGAGTCAGGAGTAACCCCTGTGCATCGCCGGGTGTGATCCAAAAAAGAAAAAAAAAAGCAGAATGAGAAGACTTGTGCGGGGTGGGGGGTTAGAACCTTTTCTTAAAGGAGATGGGAGTCACCAACTGAGAAACTGTTTAGTCACAGATGATATCAGGTCTTCACTTCTAGGATGTATTTTTGGATAAGAGATAGAGAATGGCTATAAAAAAAAGGGATATCTAGAACTCTTCTCCTTTGAATTTTAGGGTTTTGGCCTTGTACATATGCTAGCTTCAGTTTCTTTAATTACATGTACTTAGTACTTAGGTCAGAACTAGAGCCATAGTCACCAAAAAAGGAATCATCAGTCTTTCTTGTAGAAATCATGTACATTATGCAATGAAAAAAAACTTATTTTTTTGTTCTCTGGTTTTGGGACCACACCTAGTCAGTGGTGCTCAGTAGCGATTCCTGACTCTATGTTTAGGAGGGACCCCTGATAATGCTCAGGAGACCGTATGTGGTTCCAGAAATTGAAGCAGGGCTGGCTGCATGCAAGGCTTATGCTTTACGATCTTTCAAGCCCTGAGCAGAAAAAAATCAGAAGGTCAGCATCTGTCTAAATTTCAGCATAAATTTAAAAAATGTCAAAGTTCAGGAAAATCACTTGAGAGCATCACTTCTGAAGTAGGAATTCACTTCCAACCCTGGTGAATTTTGGTTTTGGTATGTTTTGGTGTGGTGTGGGGGCCACACCTAGCAGTTCCTCCTGAATCAAGAGTTCACTCCAGTTGGTATTCAGGGGACATCTTTGGTACTGGGGATCGAATTAGAATAAAACGTGTGTGGGGAAAGCACTTTATCCACTGTACTATCTCTCCAGCCTCTGGAGGATATTTCTAGCGCTTACTCTTAGTTCTACTGGCATTTAGAATCAGATTGTTCTTTGCTTTAGGATGTTGTTCTGTGCATTGAGAGACGTTTGGCAGCATACCTAGCTCTGCTCCATAATCCAATATACTGTTACCCAAGTTCTGACAATGAAAAGTATCTTCAAGTATCGCAGGTATCATCTGAGTGCGTGTATATGAAGCAGGAAGATGGTGTTGGAAACTGACTTTAATTCTCAGCCAGTCAAAGCCAGTCTAACTGGGTGCAATTTAAGGGACACTCACCTATCAAATTCTTTATTGTTTGTGTTTCTTGTCTAGAACATAATGCAAGCCGGAGAGGAGGAAGGAGGGATGCAGAAAATATGGAAATGAAAAATATCGACCCCATCTAAACAGGACCTGCCAAGTGTCATACTGAACAGACTCTGGAGGTAACCTTC